TTTCTATGATGGTTACAAGATTGGTCAAATCTACCGAACCTGCACAGAGATTCATTACTGAAAATAACAGGTGTAATACACAGTTTTTCTTAAGAAATGTTTGATAAATATCCAGACATTATAAATATTTTGAATGTGAAATTGAAAATTTTCTGATGCATAAAAGTATTTTTAATGTTAAAATGAAAATCACTTCATGTTGGATAGACAACATGCAAAAAAGAAAAAAAAAGGCACGAGAAAAACCTTGCTTTATAAACCTTAAGATTTAATTTAAAAAATTTGATATTTTGCGTATGAAAGCAATGTAATGTTTTCTGATAATCTGCCAAATTTCATTAACATATGCTTACTAATTTAAAAGTTATAGCATGAAAACTATAACAAGCACAAGATGGTTATGATGTTGCTGAAAGAGTTAACATAACAAATTATTTAGTAACAAAAAATAATAAAATTACCTGCAGAGCTCCTTTTGTCATTTCCTGAAATACTCTGGCATCAACAAATGGCTTGACTATACCTACAAAGGCCTGAATGAAAGTCACAGACACAAAAATACCACCATTTAAATGGCAATTCTCATAGAAAAATGTACATAAACAGATCATTAAAAACTGAGTTACAACATTTTTCACAAAATTAATATTACAGAGTACATTTTAAAAAAATTTTTAGCCAAAAAATTTTGATTAGATGATCAAAGAAGTTATATAAAACAACTGTCAATTATTTTGCTATTGTATTACTAAGTACTAAAACTACACTAATTTCACATCTAGCTTTGAATTACAACTGCAATTAAACATTAAATGGGTTGCTTCAGCTATAATAAGAGCCACAAAAAGAAATGATGAGATAGTGCCAATAAAATCTATTTTTATTACGAGATGTTTCAGGTAATTGCCCTTCCTTACCATCAAGCCTGAAGAAGGGTGGTAGCCTGAGTCTTCACCTAACAATATTTGAATGCGAGTAACATTTGTACATTACTAATGTTTAATAATATCAAAACCCCTAGGTATTATTTGTAATCCTTTTCACTTGCAGCACATTATCATAATCAAGATACTGACTTTTAGATAAAGCTACTTCTAGGTTAATCTTCTTATCTATGTCTGAAATGACAGTGTCACTAAATTTCATGTTTTTCTTTTGATGCGTGGTTTAACTTTTTTGGGTTACCAATAATTCTGGCAGGTAAAGAAAATCTTAAAATACATAAAAAATAAGATATGATGTGACACCTTTTTCTTTGCTGTTGGAAACATCAATACTGATAGGAAAAATTAAAATGTTTCAAATCGTAACCCCTAACATACTACACATCAATAAAAATGCCAATAGGTAATGCACTGTAGCTAACCACTCAAACTCCAAGATTTAAAAATTAAAAGTGCTAACCTCAGCACTGTCTAGGTCTTCCATGTGGTACACTCTCTCTCGTCTACTTTTTTTCAAAGAGTCGAAGGTCAGATGGACTTTTGGTTTACCACTGCTGTCCTATGTATAAATACAAGTATATATATATAAATAAATTTGTATGGTTTAAAAAATGCTTAGACAAATGACTAAAGTAAATGGCTTTATGATCTTTATTATTTTCCTTTTTACAGATCACTACATTACATTTTCAATGCTAGTAATTTTTTACAAATACAACTGTAAATTAATCAATCAAATTTCATTTTCTACTAGCTACAAGATAGTTGTGTCCATTTTTTGTACTTTTAGTTTTAATATGCAATAAACCATTTCAAATAAAATTATCATTAACTGTAATGTTATAGATCAACATTAAACATAAGCTATACGTTGAGAAATGCATAATGGAAAAAGAAATCCAGGTTATTAATAAAAATATTTTTATACATCCTTTACTACAATAACTAGCATCTTTCTACTAGTCATATGCTACTGGCAAATGAAACTAATGATTTGTAATAATTCAGCTAATGGAAATAACCACATTGGCATGAGCTTTCTACACTGTAAAACATTCTATTAGTCAATGAGTCAATAACACATTAATGTAGGATGAATTAGCAAAATTTGTAAATATGTCATTTTACAATTAAATTAATCAAATGTAATGCTATTTTAACAGGTGGAATATTTTTTCTGTGATTAGTTCATGCATGGTAGAAATGCTGTTTTCCTTGAATAATTGCTCCAAGAAACAACCATTTCTACTTTTCAAGTATATAAACATGTAATCTTCATTCTGATAATTTTACAATAAGAAATGGAAAATTTGAAAGTAATTTTTTCTTTTTTATAATTGATTTGATTATATTTTGAAAAATGTAATTAGCCAAGTAAATGTTGGCCACAAAATTTTATTTCTTGTGTTATTATCATTCAGTTCACACAAATTATAATTTTTATTTTTTAAACACATTTCAAAATACATTGTTACTAGAATGAAAAACTATCAGTTCATAGTTTACATTCTAGTGTATCAAAAGTAATAATTCTGTGTGATCACAAACAGCTCTTATAAAAGCTAAAGATGCATATGGGTTTGCTTGTGTTTTGAACTAAACCAAAATGAACTGCTATTTTAGAGGAGCCTGCTCTTGTCTTGGCTCTGAGATTGACAATGTTTTAAATCTATATCGAGGCTTTCATCAGGACTAAAAATATACACTAAGTATAAAACTCATGAGGCTGGATTCATTATTTCACCTAATTTAATTCATAAGTGGCCAGTACTGGAGTTACCTTCAGATGTCATCACAACTGTTTAAATAACTTTTACTCTTAAGTATACATATACTGAAAAACAATAATCATACACTGGCAACAAGAAGTCAGAAACAATCCAGATGTCACTAGTAGTAGGAAATCATATGTACTCAAAGTAAGCAATAAATAAAAATACTTCTCAGAGTTCCAAAATGTACCAACACTGAAGTATCATAAGTAGGAATTTTTACAGAAACTATACTTCTGTACTCTGATATTTTATAACGTTATGAGAGTACATTTGAAAGTAAGTGATAGATGTTTTGTAGCTATATTTTTTGAGGGTCTGCTAAAAAAAGAATGTGAAAATTTAGCATTTTTAAGATTCAAATGAATTTCAAATAGGTACTTATCTCTGAAATATTGAAAACCTTTCCTTGTTGAGATACTTTTGATTAAAAAAACCATGTCATTCAAACTTCTGAATGTCCCTGATGCAATGCAAAGCACATGTCAACTTACTCATAATTCTTCACTTTCCCATCTCCAACGTGACTTATTGCACACGCATCAGGAGATCTTACATAAGCTCTGTTTTCCCCACCATAATTTAGATTTCTATGCTGTAATCATGACTGAAAATCAAATATCGGAGATAAGTACCTGTTAATCCTAAACTCGAAAATTCAAACCTGGTCAAATTACCTTTGAAATACTTAAAACTCAGAATACTCATGTTGAAAAGAAAGTGGGAACCAGAGACAGTTAAGATTATACAAAAGATATAGGTTAAAAGGTTGGAGCTTTGCCATGCAGGTAGCACTCAAGAAAGATTTTTTTGAACAACAATCACATATTGAATGTAGAAAATTCAATCTTATGAATATAGTGCCCATTACTTAAAAAGTTGTATTAAAAAACAAAGAACACACTAACTGACAATATCTAGCAGCTCCATTTATGCACTGGAGCAGACCATTATTGTAGAGACACGGGGCTATAATTAATCACCGAATTGCTTCAATAAAATGTACTGAATGTAAGTGTAAAAATCACAAAAGAAGTATGAAACATAAAATATACGGTAATAAAAATAATGATTTTAATGTTGAAAAATGGAGCACCAGTGTAACTATACACCCCCCCCCTTTCCCAAAGTACATGTTTAATTAATCAACAAGGTTGTGAAAAAATGTAACTGATAATAACACACTCCCTTGTAACTTTTGTTATAGTTGAAAGTTCATATTTATTTTATAATCAAACTGTTAATGTTACTTTGTCATGCTTTGTTGTTTATTTATTATTATGTTTATTAGGCATGATTAATTAATCAACAATTTTATGTTAAAAACTATGGCTGTTAATCTGCCTGAAATGGTGAATTTTAAATGATTTATTTTTCTGAAGTCAACTGCACTTCTTTTAATTGGATGCAAGCTTGTTGTACAAGTTATACAAGTATTGCACCTAGCATCAAATATGTGCACATAAACAATGTAAATTTATTATTTTTATTCAATTTATAAAAATTATTACTGTTTTATTTTATAAATTTTTAAACTCATGTTTTAATTCACACACATATATATATATATATATAATCTGTGAAATAATATGGTTTTCAATCAAATGTTAACATCTTACAATACCGAAAATGTACTCCCGATAGATACTTATCTCTTCTCACATAACAGCTTTCCTTGATTTGTGCTGCCCTCTATATCAGCCATTTTCGCTCATCACTAGACTTTATTATTCCACCTAACATCACGTGTTTACTCATCTATAGAAATTTTGCACTGTTTCAATATGGGATTCTATCTATTATGTAAGCAGAGATGAGGTATCATAGCAGAAGTTAATTTTTTCCAACACTGAAAAGGTATTTCCAATAGATACTTACCCGCTTTTCTTTCAGCTTAATCTTGAAATGATGATTGTGCTCTACAATATAGAGGGAGGCAGCTGCATGAGAAGGGTGTGTCGCACTGCTATTGGTGGAGGGTTGTAGTATGCTATACCACGTTTAAACATGTGATGGTAGGTGAGAGAATCGAGGCTAGTGACGAGCAAACCTGTACCTATAGAAGGTAGCACAAATCAAGGAAAGCTATAATGTTAGTGGAAGTAAGGTATCATATCGGAACTAAACTAGCATGGTGCATCATCAGTAAATTATGAAAAGTGGTACTATTGAAAGTTCAAACCACTTATCAGTAATGTTTGTGTGTGTTTTCTCATAGCAAAGCCACATCCGGCTATCTACTGTGTCCACCAAGGGGAATCGAAACCCTGATTTTAGCGTTGTTAATCCGAAGTCTTACTGCTGTCCCACTGGAGGACAATCAGTAATGAATTCCAAACTTTCAAAGGACAAAATCTATCCTTCATTACAGACTCCAGTTGCAGGGTGAGAACAGAAACATAAATTGAATATATTTAAAGAAATGGATTCAAGCGAGAATTGGTGGAATGGGCAAACTTTATATAAAGACTGGACCTCAGGATAAACAGAAAACATTATTCTGTTTGTCCCGAGGTTCAGTGTTTGTATAAACGTTCCCCACTCCATGTTTTGTGTAAAAACTAAAGGGGTCAATTATAACAGTTGTATGTTTACCTGTGGTGACATAAACAGGTAGGAGGAATACTATGTCCTGTTTCTGTAGCAGAAGGGTCTTGGAAGAGGAGCCCATTAAACAATTTCAAATGGATATACTTCTGGGACATTAGCCCCTCTTCATTCATATCTGAAATGGTCAATGAATCAAAAAACTGGCAAAGTTAGTGGGTGCTACAGGAGAACTGAAGAAAAACCAAAAGTGTCTGAAGGATGGGATTCATCACCTTGAGGACAGTGCAATGTGATAACATAAGAGCTACTTGAGAAGGGAGTCTAGCTTCTCTAATAAAAGACTGCATAACAGCCAGCCAAGAATCTGTAGATGACGAACGTCAGTGTGGAAGATAAACATTCAAGGCTGGCATATAAAGTGTCTTCAGAGAAGAAGTAGAATGGGATTTCTTTCGTATAGATAACACAACAAAAGAAAGTACAGATGAGTTAACTAGTGTGGACAATAAGGAGATTTCGTAATAACAATGATTTGATCTTGGCTAATACTCAAAGAAAAAAGATGAAGAGGAGAATAGGTACAGAAAATGGATAAAAGCACCCAGTGCCAAAGAAGCATGATCTGTAACTGAAGACATGTAAAGCACAAGAACCACTGAAAAATTGAGCTTCCTATTGGAAGTGCATGATGATCTCTTAAAAATAAAATCTGAAAGAAAGTTCATAATGACAAGATCTGAGATACTTATGATACAAATTGAACCAAAGATCAAAATAAACTGCAACAAAACAAAGGTCCAAAAGATTGCTGAAAGATTCTGACTACAGAATGCTCAAAAACAAAGTTTCTGATTCCTGATGACAACAGGAACAAACAAAAAAGTTCCCCCAAGACAGCAATCCAACCTCAAGAGGTGCAGATCTATATGAGGTGGTAAACTGTAGTGGTAAATATATGACTAAACCAAAACTGAAGGTAATCAAATAAAGTGAATGAAGGGTTAAGTTCCCTGAAATAAGGAGTCTGAAGATAGTAACCAGTGAGAAGCAAGATCCCATTGGATGTATTTCAAGTGAGCATGCCCCAAGGGAATGACTGTATGAAGTGAGGCTATCATTCCTTCATTCCCAAAGCAAAAATGATATCTTTGGTGGTAAATAAGAGAGTACAAGAGACTAAAAGACTTGCAATGCCATAGCAGCCACGTATCAAATACTATATTGGTACTAAATGAGATGTGGATGAGTTGTTCAAGAGATGTATCCAGCTGGGTGATCATCTGAATGTGTGTAAAAGACTGGATGGAAGGAAGAATCAGAATAACCCATGTAGAATAATCCAAATGATGAATGAATAGAAAAAAAAACAACAACAACAAAACTAAACTGGAACAAAACATAGAGAACCCTGATCGCAAACACTTCAGAAAGATGGAGATCACATGCCAACAATGGACAGCAAAAAAAAGGGACGGCAAAGAAAAGTAATATAACAAACAAGGAAGCTAAATGGCTGGAAAGACCCAACTCTCACAAGGGACAATACAAAAGCAATGTGTGAAGACGGAATGTGTGTATGGTTGGATGATGTATGGTGGTCTGAACTACTGATAGGACACAAGGAAGAAGACAAATAGGAGAATATTAATGGAGGTAACAACCTGTCCAATCCTGAGAGCATCCACTGCTTCTGGCAACAGTTAAGAAACAGGAGACCGAAAATGAGAAATGTGTGTATCGAGATGAAAGGCAAATATGTCCAAATTGGGGACATCCATAAAATGAAAGGATCCAAAGACTACCCCATCGGTAGAATCCTGTCCGAATGGGATAACCGATCCATTACGAGATTCAGGGCACCTGTAATAAGATATGCCATCAAAGTGATATGATGGCAGTGGGCCCAATATAGAAGATCCAAAATTTGAAAATAAAGGTCTCTTAACCAGGTGCCCCCAGGCCAGGTGATGTAAGACATTACCATAGAATTATCGGAGTGGAACATCACCACCTGGTCCTGAAGAGCCAGGAGGAAGGTAAGTACTGTCCAGTGAACAGCAAGAAGTTCCAAGAGTTTCATATGGATAACAAATTCAAAAAGAGTTCCCTGCCCTGAAACCTCCCGAGTGTTGAGAAATGCTCCCCAAATGGAAAGAGAAGCATCTGCAAAAAGGTGATAATCTGGATAAGGAGGAGGAAGAGGAAACCCCCATATTAATATTGGTCTGATCTAACCACCAGTCAAACTTGGACTATAAATGAGGGGGAAGGGTAAGAGGAGCATCCAAGGGAACCAAAACCATGCACCATTAGTCAATTAAAACCCACTAAAGATGGCACATGTGGGTACAAACAAGAGGAATGAGGGCTTTGAAAGAAGCCCATGTTTTCAAACCTCATGTGCAGAAGAAAAAGGAGACGTTCCATAGCTCTTATCTGAAGGGAAGAAGGCTGGTCCTGACTGAGAAATGAAGTGAGAAACACACCAAGAAGAGCCAGAAATTGAGTAAGTGTGAGGAATGACTTCCCCACCTTCATAAGTCAACCTACCCTGGCATCTTCCCAAAGAAGAAACTAAGTATGTAGAGCTGAGTTGGCTTGTGAGGAAGCTAGAACTAGCCAGTTGTTCACATAATGGTGTAAATGGATGCCCCAGGAGTGAAGCAGTCTTGCAAATGTCCAGACTACTCGACAGAACACCTAGGAAGCCAAGGCAAGTCCAACAGTAAAAGCCCAAAACTGAAACACTCACCCATGATGAACAAAACAAAGAAAATGGGAAATGGGAATATGTAGATAAGCATCTGACACATCAAACTACTTCACCCACAAACCAGGAGCGAAAACCTAATGAAGAGTTAAGTATGACTCCATGGTGAATTTGAAAAAAATGAGGAAGTGGTTCAGAGATGATAAATCAAAAACTGGGCACTAATGTCCTGTCTTTTTTTGGGAACAACAAAAAAGATGAGAATAAACCCCCAAAGAGAAAGATTACCTCTTCGCTGGCACCCTTGAGAAGTAAGTCCTGAGTCGCATCCGACTGACACTGGCAAGAAATTGGCTCCCACTGATGGGGGAAAGAAATTAGGTGGTGAGACAACAGAGGGGATGAATGGAAAGGGAGTTATGCAGATGGGCTGAATAAACCCCAGACTCCAAAGAATGGGGGGAAAAATCCAAACACCTCTTGATGTAAAAAACGGTGCCTTGCACAATTCATTCAGTGAAGAGGAGGGTAAACAAACCTTAGATAAAACAGTAACCTGATCTAGAAGAACTCAAAAGCAGAGCACTCACATTTATAAAATGAGGACCAAAGAGGAAAGGTGTGCCATGGAAGCAAAAAAAAAAAACTACTATGATCAACAGAAAACCCTTAATGAGACAGATGAATAGCTTCAAGCAAAAAGTGAAGGTAGGATACAGGTAATAATGGATATCATAAGAAGTATATGGGAAAATGGAGGTAGGAAAAATTAACCAAAGTTAGGGTCCAAACCCCACATAGGGGGTAGTTATGATGGTTAGTTAGAACTATAAAAGCAATACATGATAGCCATAAGCCAATGTATGTGGGGGACAAGGCATATTGATCCACTGAATACAATTGTTCCCCAAAACAACTAGCAAGAACCCCAATATCAGGGTAAGGAAGAAAAATTCAAGAATGACCCACTAGGATACTTTGTTAATCAAGTCTACAGAGGGAGAAGGAGAACTGAGTAAGATCCCTGAAATAACACATGACAGATAAACATATTCAAGAGGGGAAAAAAGGCTGCCCAAAGTTGCATCCACCCAAACAGACACATCTAGGTGCTGGTATGACAGGACACTATCAGGTTATTCATAATGTTGCCTGAAATTATACAATTCCCTGTGGATCATAGCCATCACATCATTGGCCGATAACTGTGGTACCAACTACATACATGTGAACAGTAAATCCGCTGTAGCAGTAACAGCAGTGTTAGTCATAACAACCTGAAACTGTGAGGGCATAACTCACAAAGTTGAAAACTTGAACAAAAAATAGAAAAGGGAGAATAGATAAAGAAAATAAATCACTACTCTCTATAAAAAATGGAAAAATGACAATAAGTGAATCAGAAAAATACACAAAAGTAAAAACACATGGATATAATAACTAAATCACAAACAAAAACAAACAAATCTCACAGTAAGACTGTCAACCAAAAAGTAATTAACAAGTGCATGATTAGAGAGGGCACTCGTTATGATAGGGGTAGTGTCACACACTTATTGGTGGAGGGTTGCTGCATGATCATTTATATGTTGATAGGCAGAAAGAAGTGGGAGTTGGAAGTCTAGTGGTGATCGAAAATTTTGCACTGATACAGGGCAGTACTAGATGAGAAAGCGTTTTCTGAGTGGAGGAAAAATATTGTATAGGAAGCAAAGATTCATTAGCATCCTTAAGTCTAAGAAAAATGAGTTTAAGATTTAAATAACTGAACATAATGAGAGAAAAAAAAAGAAAAATTAGACCAACAGAAGCTCCTTCAGAATCAAGGCTTGCTGAAAAATTTTGCATTTCGACAATAAAGGTGAATAGACCAGAGCAAAAATTGTATTTCTTTTGTTCTTCTCTTATTATCATGGGAAAAAGAGCAGCCATTCTATATATAAGCATCCATATGAATATGAAACATTCCAAGGACACCAGCAGACAATTCAGAAATAATGGCTTGAATACACTGTTCAATAAGGGCCAACAATGCCATCATAGAATCTCCTTGCATACCCTAGGAAGACTACATGAATAAGGCCTCCAAAGAAGGTACAGAAGCAACCAGAAGAGAACAATGAAAATCTCGGATAGATTAATAACTATTCTAGATACCCGTGTGTGTGTATGTTAACATATATATGAAACTTTCTTGGTTTCTTGCTCATAAAAATTCTGAATAAAACTTTATTCAACACACAAAAGATTGTTCATATGCTTATTTTGATAAATTAATACCTTTTTCTCATCCATTTTTTCCACAAGAAGTAATGATCGGAGGTCAAGAGAGTCTTCCAACTTTCCAGTTAGAACATTCTTTTCCTTTATGCACTGACCTATTATACTGATAAACATGGTAACGGATTTTTCCCCATCCAATTTTTGCACAATAAACAAAGTAGCTTCCACATCTAAAAGAAAGGAAGAAAAAAATAATAACAGTTAATCCAAAGCCCCCTCATAAAACCCGAGTTTCTAACTTCAGAATGATAACTCTTTTACATTAAAAAAAATATTAAATATTTTTTGAAATTACATTAAGTTTGTCTGTAAGTATTATGTCAGTCTGAAAAGCTGATAGTGAGATGGATAATTCAGATCTATGAAGTAGAAATACAGTTATGGAATAAATGTTTAAAAAATAAATTGGTGGTCTTTCATCATCCAAATAAACACATAAAAACAGTTTGAAAATTTTAGAATAAATTAAATAACACTATCATGATACCATTGCTTGAGTTGAGTGAACATTTCTCAATATATTTTACAAGTTTCTTGTTTCTGATCCATTTAATTCCTAATACTACATGATTTCTTAGTGTCATGAATTTGATAAGCTGAAGGTAGTTTACAGTAACAATGTTTGTTATGATGCCCAAAACATGAAGAAGAGTATTATAAAAACAAAGCAAAGGTGATTCAAATCTGTAAAACTTAATGTACTTCAAGACACAAATTTCAAAAACCGTCCCCCTTCTTAGGTATACTTTATTACGCTGAAACATGAAGTTTTCCATATCTTGCAAACACTCGTTAACTCAGAATAATCATAAGCATACGTATTCCAAAATGGTAAATATTTTTATAAGATGCTGTATATTTTTTTCCAAGCCATTCAAAAATTTCAAAGATTAAAGCTGATTAACAATAGAAAATTAATGTCAAATTAAGCCAACTGGTAAGCAAAATCTATATGCAATTCTTCATATACTGAAATTATATGCTCATATAAAGTCTACTGCCATTCTTGTGTTTGTCTGAATGTGACAGTATAACAAAATTATGCACCTTACCATTATCCCAAAAGTCATCATCAGGGGACAGGATATTTTCGTCATCCATGGATGTCATTCTGTTCCAAATAAAACCAGCATCATCACTACTGCTTTTTGTTTCCATATAACAATGACTATCTGAATTAGCACTTTTAAAAGCTGAGTCTTCATCCTGTGAGGCAACCTGATATTGTTTCTCATCATTCTGTTCCTTTTTGTCACAATAACTTAAAACTTCAATATCTTCACTTGTTTCTAAAGTTTTCTTTTCTGGTGAAATTTGTTCTTTACCAGTATTTTCTGTATTCTTATTATTAACAACATTGTTGATATTACCATTAACTACTTCATCTACTTGGAGAGTAGTATGATCACCCACTATCACTGCAGAGTTAGTTGCATTACCAAAAGGACCTTCTGTGGAAGAAACATGTACTGGATAATCTTCCAAATCTACATGGAGTGGTTTTATTGGTTTATCTTTTTGAATCAAAGAACAAGTTGGAGTGCTTTGTGCCAGAGGAGTTCGGTTTTGTCCCATATTTCCTATAAGCCATTCTGAATCCAAGTACTGTCTTCTTTTCTCAAGGGCTATCTTAGCCTGAAGGTGGTCTGCCAGTTGACAACTGGGAACTACAACAAAAAATTCTGATTTAGATGTTTACATGATAGAAGCTAAGTTCATCACACTTTAAGGATTATTTTTGAAGATTAGATTTCTTTTGATTCCACAAAATTAATAAATCACAAAAAATACAGAAAATCACACATGTAAAGATAATATTATAGGCATGTTTGAATACAATTTTCCTGGTCTTGTCATCAGTTCACTATTCTTAAATAAATTAGTTTATCAACAAGCCATTAGGTGACTTTTAAGGCCTAAAACTTTAACTTACTATATCCTCTATATAAAGAGATGGGAAAGGGATCAGAGGAACACAGCACTACATCAGAAAGCTTCATTTACATTTAAATCAAGAAAACTAAATGATATATGTTTCCACTTATTACTGAAATGTACTATTACACTCAAATGTCTATATATGGACACTGTTTTTAAATTAAATAAATGCAATAGTTTATATGCAATATATTTTTTGCATCAATTAAACAACACAATATTTTGAAATTTGTACTGCAAAATATTTTATGTAAAATCATAACACAAATAAAATGCTGTTATATAGATACAGTTAATTTATTCACACAGATGTATTAAAGAATGTTTAATAGTACACAATAAACATTTAAAACGAGACTGTCCCCTGTCTCAAAATACAATAAAAAATTGTTTTACTTAATAGTCTTAATGTATAAATATAAAATATGGTGAGACTGGGAACAGTTCCATACACTTTATATGTTTTGTCATCTTACTGCATCATCATCATCATAAGTGCAATATTTTGCACAAGTTAAGACCCATATACAAGTAGATACAAATTTTGAATTCCTACTAATCTGACTTTTTTAAACAGATTACACAATAAAATCAGAGAAGATACTAAGTGATAAGCTCCACTAATTATAAGATATGAAAAAACATATAATAATAAGTTGTCTCACACATGCACAAACATATAAACTAATAACACATACATGGTCTATATATTAGAATACTTTAAATAAACATCCGATATTCAAGGAAGATGACAGAAAACATCATTTTTTTTTATAATTTATTCTACCTGACGTTTCAGCTTACATCTTTTTCCAGGATCATTTAGCATCACAGATTAAAAAATTGACTTTAAATGGCAGTAACCAAAACGTTAAGCCACATAAGTAGGCAAATCCAGCCATCCAATACATGAATGTTTCAAAGAAGTTGCTATTGAACATTATATCAACTCACATGGTATAATTCTTGGAACACTATATCATATCAAAACTTTATACTTGCTTTCCTAAAAGGAAATCTAA